TGAAAAGTATTATGAAACGTTAAATATATTATACGTACTTTTAAAAGCATAAAAAAAGCTATCTTGTAGTTTAAGGTAATACAAAATACTACAAAAAATGTTTAGCCAACCCTCAAATAAAGCAGTTACTGAAAATTCATTGCTGCTGCTTACAATATAAATGCTATTAGAGCATAAACATATTACATGGAACAAACATATAGTAAAATATATGTAGCAAGTTATATTGTAAAACATACTCTTTTCAATAAATATACTTTTTACAACTTTAATAAAATTTATACGCACTCTAAATATAAGAAAGAAAAAAAATAGAATACTGTTCTAAAAATAATATACCTTATGAGATAAAATAGTACACTTATCTTTAAAAATGTAGATCGTTATATTTACACTAATTAAAATTAAACGAAGCAAAATATATGAATAAGCTGCGAAATAAATAATAATTCCAATTAATTTAAATTGAAAAAAGGAAAAGAAAGTTTTTCGAAATGCAATTTTTGTGCTTTTAGCCTAAATGTTAAACCAAAACCTCAACTCCCTACGTGCGAAATTTCACAATACAGTTTTAATTAACCCAGGTTCCGGGGGCGTATTTATTTGATAATGATCGATTAAAATTATTTTCAAAGAGTTTAAATATATAAAAATAATCTTACCTTTTAAAGACACACATTAATCGGGTAAAATTACAAAACAACAACGTGTAAAAGTATTAACCAATCAAATTCATTTATCGTCGCGACCAGTGCGCCGCCAAGCGGTAAAAGGCTTGAACTAAGGAATTTTGGTTTAACATTTTTTAAAAATAGCACATTAAACCTTTTCGTTTTTTGAATAGCCTATATGTTAAACGAAATCTTCAGCTACCTACATGCGAAATTCCATAATGATTGAGTCAGTAGATTTTGCGTGATGCGATAACAAACATCGATTTCGCATTTCATTTTTATAGATATAAAGGATAAAGGATATGGAAATTTTGCCGGGAGAAAAATGATCTAAAGAGACAAGGGTCGCCTCTCCCGTCAAACGACGGTCAATAGATGGCGTCTGCTTTAGACGTCTATTTTGACGGGAGAGGCGACCCTTGTCTCTTTAGATATATATATATATACACCCATACCTCGCTTTGCGTCGGGGTTACGTTCCAAAAAAAAACACGACGCAAATTGAAACGACGCAAAGTGAAAATAACATTTAGATGGCTTGGCGCATTCAAAAACAAAGGTGTTGCCATATTTTAGGAAAAAAAAAAAGACTCGAATCCAAAACAACGCAACTTCGAAAATCTAACGACGCACAGTGAAAATCAGTAAAAATTAAGCAGCGACGCAACTTCGAAAAAAACGCAAAACGAAACGACGCAAAGCGAGGTATTGGTAAATATGTACGTATATGGGAAATACATTTTGACATATAAAAGTATTTTTTTTTAGTATTCGATATTCCCGTAGAAGGGTCGTTATAACCGAAAGCTCGATTTGTTGGTAATAAAAGAAGACATTTATAATTGGAGACATGTTGTTGATTCTGGTATTAAAGTAAAGAAATACTTTTAAAATTTTTCAATATAAATAAAAATATATTATATAATCTATATATATAATAAGATATTATATAATCTATAACATAGAAAAATAGGGCGCCTCTCCTGTCAAAATAAACGTCAAAACCCGACGCCATCTATTGACCGTCGCCGCAACTAGCGGCCTCGGGTCGGTGACAAAGCCACAACACCAACTTTGGCAAACTGATAAGCGTCCACCTAGAGACTTTGGTTGAACACCGGCGACGGTCAATAGATGGCGTCAGATTTTGACGTTTATTTTGACGGGAGAGGCGCCCTATGCTTCTATGGATTAATTTCATCCCGGCAAATTTTCCATATATCTCTATATATATAAAAATGAATGTTTGTATGTTGGTTTGTATGTCCGGTATACAAATTCGCAGTAGTTCACTAATTCAAACCAAAATTTCCATACATAGGTAAAAAAATACGGGGAAGACGATAGGCTATTTTAAAAAATATATAAATCAATTATTAAAACTATATATTTTTAGTCAGAAAATGATGATGATGATATTGCTGTATCATGTTTGATTATCAGATACAAAATTATATCGGGAAATATTCCAAAAAGCAGAGACCACAGCTGAAACCAGTTCATTATTTTGTACGCAGGAACAAAATTCTAACAGAAAAACATTCATTCGAGCAGAAAACAAAAGCCAGATCATCTTTCTATAAAAATATCGCTTCTCAGACACAAAGTTTGGAGCGGGACGTTTCACAAGAGTGACATCCACGGCGCCAATTTATAATTGTAACGAATAGTATTTGAATAAAAACATTTAATCGGGTGAAACCAGGGGGTTGGCCGGGTCATTCGGCTAGTAAACTATATAATTTATTGTAATGTTGCTTCGATTAAATATATAAATATGTTTTACCAGATTAAGAAACCAATTTAATTATATATCTTTCTAATGTTATATATACTTTTAAATATATTCATAACAACAACAACAACAATTAAAGGGCTGGCAAATCCAAACATTCAAAAATAAATTAATATAACAGAGTACATTGTAATATTATTATTAGGTATATTACATAATCTTTTGGTTTATAATAAATATTTTCAAACGTCACTTTTCTTTTTTTTCCCAACGTTTTGATGACTTCTGTTACCCTCCTAAGTTAGATGTTGCCAAAAGAAGAGTTGGAGGTAGTTTCATCTTTTCACACAAATTTATATTTTTTCAATATCTCTATTACATGATGAAAAAATAGTACAAATGTGATATTGTACTGGTATAAGGTGCATAATTATGTAAAAAAGGCATCTTTTTATCGTGCAACTGAAAGTTGCTGATGGTCTGGGCCATCTATCGGAGAATAGTTGATATTTATTCCGATAGATGGCGCAAGCCATCAGCAACTTTCAGTTGCACGATAAGGAGATGCCTTTTTTTCTATTACATGATACCATATATAGTTGGTATATTTAACAGTGTTCATTATTGTTTATTCTCTATTCCCGTAGAAGGACTGAAATGCTTTAAAATTTGAGAATATCCTAATAAAATGAAAATAAACTCATTTTCAGAAACCTGTTGCATTCATTAATTAATATCCATAAGATTCACATTTATTGTTGTTGTCGTGTCTAATGAAGAGCCTCAGATGTGTCCGTACATCTCTATCACAGCAGTCGTTCTCTATCTTGGGTGTGTAAAGCTGCTGTTCTGGGTTCATGTCAATTTTCTGTTGTTGTGTCCAATGAAGAGTCTCAGATGTCTCCGTACATCTCTATCACAGCAGCAGTTCTCTATCTTGGGTGTGTAAAGCTGCTGTTGTTCTGGGTCCATGTCAATTTTCTGTTGTTGTTGTGTCCAATGAAGAACCTCAGATGTCTCCGTACATCTCTATCACAGCAGTCGTTCTCTATATTGGGTGTGTAAAGCTGCTGTTACTGGGTCCATGTTAATTTTCTGTTGTCGTGTCCAATGAAGTGCCTCAGATGTCTCCATACATCTCTATCACAGCAGTCGTTCTCTATATTGGGTGTGTAAAGCTGCTGTTACTGGGTCCATGTCAAATTTCTGTTGTCGTGTCCAATGAAGAGCTTCAGATGTCTCCGTACATCTCTATCACAGCAGTCATTCTCTATCTTGGGTGTGTAAAGCTGCTGTTCTGGGTCCATGTCGATTTTCTGTTGTTGTGTCCAATGAAGAGTCTCAGATGTCTCCGTACATCTCTATCACAGCAGTCGTTCTCTATCTTGGGTGTGTAAAGCTGCTGTTCTGGGTCCATGTCAATTTTCTGTTGTTGTTGTGTCCAATGAAGAGCCTCAGATGTCTCCATACATCTCTATCACAGCAGTCGTTCTCTATCTTGGGTGTGTAAAGCTGCTGTTCTGGGTTCATGTCAATTTTCTGTTGTTGTGTCCAATGAAGAGTCTCAGATGTCTCCGTACATCTCTATCACAGCAGTCGTTCTCTATCTTGGATGTGTAAAGCTGCTGATCTGGGTCCATGTCAATTTTCTGTTGTTGTGTCCAATGAAGAATCTCAGATGTCTCCGTACATCTCTATCACAGCAGCAGTTCTCTATCTTGGATGTGTAAAGCTGCTGATCTGGGTCCATGTCAATTTTCTGTTGTTGTGTCCAATGAAGAGTCTCAGATGTCTCCGTACATCTCTATCACAGCAGTCGTTCTCTATCTTGGGTGTGTAAAGCTGCTGATCTGGGTCCATGTCAATTTTCTGTTGTTGTGTCCAATGAAGAATCTCAGATGTCTCCGTACATCTCTATCACAGCAGCAGTTCTCTATCTTGGATGTGTAAAGCTGCTGATCTGAGTCCATGTCAATTTTCTGTTGTTGTCGTGTCCAATAAAGAGCCTCAGATGTCCCCATGCATCTCTATCACAGCAGTCGTTCTCTATCTTGGGTGTGTAAAGTTGCTGTTCTGGGTCCATGTCGATTTTCTGTTGTTGTCGTGTCCAATGAAGAGCCTCAGATGTCCCCATGCATCTCTATCACAGCAGTCGTTCTCTATCTTGGGTATGTAAAGCTGCTGTTGTTCTGGGTCCATGTCAATTTTCTGTTGTTGTTGTGTCCAATGAAGAACCTCAGATGTATCCGTAAATCTCTATCACAGCAGTCGTTCTCTATCTTGGGTGTGTAAAGCTGCTGTTCTGGGTCCATGTCGATTTTCTGTTGTTGTTTTCATTGAAGAACCTCAGATGTGTCCGTACATCTCTATCACAGCAGTCGTTCTCTATCTTGTCTGTGTAAAGTTCTGGGTTCATGTCGATTCTATGTTGTTGTCGTGTCCAATATAGAGTCTCAGATGTCTCCATACATCTCTATCACAGCAGTCGTTCTCTATCTTGTCTGTGTAAAGTTCTGGGTTCATGTCGATTCTATGTTGTTGTCGTGTCCAATATAGAGTCTCAGATGTCCCCGTGCATCTCTATCACAGCAGTCTCAATGTCCACATGGTTAGGATACCTGGCTCTCACCCAAGAGAACCGGGTTCGATTCCCGGCGTGGGAACCAGGGGGGGGGGGGGGGTAATCCGACCAGTCCCCCCTGGACCCTTGGAATATTTGACCAAATTCTGGTCCAAGGTGACTAACGTGGCAACGGCACCCATTTTCCAATAAAGAGAAAAACCGATATCTCCATTCACATCTATTGTATTATTTATATATACATTGCAGAAGATTTCATACCTTTCCAAACATACATACGATTGTATTATGATACATTAGAGCGCCATCTGTTATGAAAATTCGAAACTATTATAGACACGGATGATTCTTTTAAAAATTAAACAATTTCTACTGTCCTTTAATTTTTCCATTGCAGTAAGGACAGTATAAATTGTTTAATTTTTAAAAGAATCATACGTGTCTATAATAGTTTCGAATTTTCATACATACAATAGGTAGCCAGAAAACGTATATGTATAAAATGAATCGATACAAGAAGTATACAAGAAGTCATGGTGACACTGAGAATGCACATATATACCATGATTTATACTTTAAAACACAGTATGTAAATTGATATGACAGAGAGAGAGAGGAACAGTATCCATCTCATTGAATGAAGTACTTTGTGATAGACGGGAAACTTCTTTAAAACGTAATTCGCATCGAATTTCATAAAAAATATATTAAAAATGGCATATCCTGACCAGGAGCACATGTGCTTTACAGAAGGCAGAGCGCCATCTGGTGGAACAGAAATCAACTAAACATATATACTAAAAATATATATTTTTCGTATATTAATAAAATAGTTATAATTATGTTTTTTTTTATCTATAAATATATATTATATAAATCTCTATTCATGATAGAATTGTGAAAAAGTATTAAAATTACAAATATATTCTCACAATGAGTATCTTTTTTATTAAAAAAAAAAAACGCTAGCTCTCAAGCTTTTAAATAAAAAAAGATACTCATTGTGAGAATATATTTGTAATTTTAATAAAATATATATTAATTCATATAATTTCTATGAATAAAAAATAAAAAGTATTTTAATATTCAATATAAAAATGTTTTACCTGTTAATTATAAGGTTCAAAAGAAAAATAAAATAATCAAAATTTTTGGGAAGAAAATTCCTTAATGAAGCTTATAGTTTTTTATGAAATATTTAATTAAACTTTATTAGAACTTTATAGAAAAACTTTCAACGTTTTAATTATCTATTGAAATTTGAATGTGCTTAATAATGAGAATAATTTCGGCAAAAAAAAAGTTTTAGACAAATTTAATAAAATTAATTTCATTGAGTTAATATCCTAGTTTTAAAATTAAAAAGTGAATAGTTTTAAATGAAATACGACGTATTTAATTTTATTTAATCCATAGAAAGAGTTTCAACAAATAACTTTTTTATATAAGACAATTTTAAAAAAATAGATAAAATTTCTATTTTACAAGTAAAATAGAATTTTTAACAAAATCAGACGATAATTTTGTTGCCCACAGCGTAATATTCTGTGAGAATTCTCTAAGGAAAATATCTATCATCGCCTTTTCTTAATGATTCCTCAAGTTTTCCATTAAGGTAGGTTCCACACTTTTTATATATATATCTGCAGATTTATAAAAAGTAGCCTTAATGGTAGAATTGAAAGATTGACTTTTATTT